GCGCGAAATGCAGGCAAGAGCGCCGCGCGCCGGGTGCCCGCGCAACCCTCTGCGGAGATCGTGCGTGTCGCTTACCGCGCACTTAGGTGTCACTTTTTAATTTGTAACTACTTATAAGTAGTACTTACGAAAGTTATGTAAGTCTGAAAAAGGACTTACAGAGAATTTACAAAGATTTACAAAAACCACGTTTGGAGACTGCTTTGGCAGCACTTGCAGCGTGTGGAAATTTGCATGCATAAAGCCTTAAAATTATTTTTTTGAAACTACGAAATTATGATATCTATGTAGCCGCACGTTTTCTGGATACATATTGTATTTCTTTTGGTCTAAATATGAAACGTACCTGTCAATGTGCACATATCACATCCTGTATATATACGGAAGATTTTGCTTTTCATATTTCGGTCATTACCGGTTGTCGGTCGTTACCGAAGGTTGACATTGACCGTGGCATTTGGTTTATTGTCAGGGGTTCGGATTTCAGCTCGAAGGCACCTTCAGATATATGGGGGACGAAGATCCGGTGTCTTTACCCATTGAACAGTACTTTGGCTGCCCAGCCCAACTGTTTGTTTTTCTTATATTTTGGTTTGTGGGAAGAGTGACATGTTGCAAAGGAATATTTTTTTGGCAGCTGGAGGCCTGAGTTCTCTCGGAGCATTCGGTATGTTGCGCTGAAGTCGCATTGGATTTTGATCAACGGCATTCCTCACTACAGATGCTACATGGGTGATGGTCGCGTGAAAGAGTAGCTTGGCCCATTGTTGTTCTTTGGGTTGTGTATTTTTGACCTGACCGGGTCACTCACGACACGACTTGTTGTGACATCAAATCCATTTCAGGAAATCCATCTGGTATTTCCAAACTACATGGGGATTGCGGAACAATGAGGAGAGGTTTAGGGAGATTTTCCAGACCTTGGTCGAGCACTGCAGTGCTGAGGACTCGTGATATGCGCAGTCTTATGGGGGCAAAACGATGGTAGTGAAACCTGTGTTTGCGCGGTAATTACCGGGATGATTTTGTTCAAAAGAACAGTGTTGCAAAGTGAAGCCTGGAGTCATGGAGTGAAGACCTGGGTTTTTTACTTGCATACTCTGCTCGGTTGTAGTGCTCGGTTTTGACCGTCAATTTTTGAGGTTCAAGAAGTTCAAGGCATGCCCACTGTAAAACTTGGTGAGGTGTTGAGGCAGCTATGCGCTGCTGATAAGTTTCTGGGCAATGTAAAATCATTGCCTTCGTTTGCCAGCATCGAGGAGACACAGTTTCAGAAACTGAGTTCCATGCTGCAAGCGGCAACGTTTCATGAAGAGCAATGCACCAAGGCTGCAGAGCACGTCCATGGGTTGAGACATTTCTCGCCAAAGAAGGTCAATATGCTACTAGCATCTGTGGCGGCAGCTTGTGGTCAGTCAGGATCGAAAGAGAAGGCAAGTAAGGGTATGTGTGGCCCTTCTTGTGAGGCTCAAGATTACTCTAGCCTTTACCGTTTTCTTCCTGACTCTGTTTGGAAGAGACTGGAAGGGCAGCTGGCTCATCGTTTGCACGTTTTGTGCGCCTTTGCAGCGAAGTTGGGTCTATTTTGTCCTACTGAAAAAACAGTGGGGGTCTTCACTGTGATCTTGTTTTGGAAAGAATGGCGGCAAAGATCCGAAGTCAATACCCTTGACAAGTACAAGACCTACAACAGTTGCCGAGGCCAGATCCGCTCTGTGTTGAAGGAGTACAACTGTGTGGCCACCAAAGACTTGAGGCTTCAGCAATTGCCGCCAGTTTTTTCTGAACTGTCTTCGACCCACATGAAGCTGTATGAGCATGAGTGTCTTTGCTGCATTTTTGCATGGTTGTACTTTGAGAATGTATTTTCGTATCAATACATTTCCCACGGTCATGACCGATGTTGAATTTTTGGATTCATGGACCTTGGCAGGACGCCTGCAGCACCAAGCCCGGAGTTAGAAGAGGCGATCCGCACGATGAAGCTGCGATCCTCTGCTACAGGTGTGAGTTCGAATCCCGGCAAGCAGGATTTTATGAACTGGCTGAACAATTTGAGGGACCCGAGTGGCTCTTCCAGCAGCCAGATGTCTGGTCAGGAGCTCTTGCCCATTGAGGATGGGAAAATGGACTCGCAGTCCATTGGGTCTGGCGCAGACCCAATTCCTTTGTTAGATATGGGAGCTTCTTTGCCTGCACCTTTGGATGAGAGCGCGTCCATTGCTTTGTGCAAACTAAAGCAAGAGGAGAAGGAGTCTGTCAAAGTGAAGAAGAGTGTGGCAAAGACTTTGTTAGAACTTAAGAATGCTTGCGCTGACTCCCAGAAAAAAGGCAAGGGACCATCCCAGAAGAGGAAACGAACTCCTCCAGTCGACAAGCAAACAACCAAGTCGAAGAAGGCAAAGGTGAAGACTGAGATTGCCAGCCAGACCAAGAATAAATCTGGCCCAAAAAAAAAGCAAACCAAACGTAGAGAAGAAGCCTAAGTTGAAGATGGACCGCAAGAATGTGGCTTCCAGAGCATATCACCGCAAACTGACGGAGATGCTGAAAACCATGGACAGGGAAGAGGCGAAGATCCATGCCAGAGAAGCTCACCAGAAAGCTTTGGAGGAATGGGACAAAGCGAACGCCAACAAGGATGGTGCAACCTGAGATATTGCTACACGTGTAGCTTGTCCGGGACTTTATGGGGATATATCTGTGTACAGGTTTGATGGCAGACTGACAAGTCTCCAGCTCTCTATATACATGCGTTGTGTTTCGATTGGCGACACGATTGCATTTGCAAGTTGGGGAAAAAAGCCGACTCTGTCACTATACAACGGTTTTCACCGTACATGTAAAATACGGTCATCACCGTGAGTGCTTTGTTGCCATGCGCATGGTCTTTACCAGTTATTTCGAGGAAAAACCAGCAGTTCCTTCCAAGCGTTTCCTCGCTGTAGTAGCAAAATTGCTGCCATGGCCAGCCAGGTGCCTGACAACCAGCAAGGTCTTGACGAGACCCAGGTCTACGAGACCCTGCCACAACCCGAGAGCCAACAGGAACAGATCCAGGAGATCCATGACTCGGAACCGGAACCCAAGAAAAATGAATCTCAAGCGGTGGTGGCGGTGGTGGAGGCCTCTCCCAGACCTGTGGCAACCCCTGCTGCTTCAGCGCAGGGACCTGGAGTGGAAGGCATGTCTTGGGAAGAGCTGCAGAAGGCTCGATCGACTACAGAGTACTGCGGCCGTTGCAAAATGCCAGTGGAGGCAGGACCTACGCGTCGGTCTGCTGGCAAGTCGCATTGCAAAATGCAATGTAAGTCCTGCCACAATGTGGCGACCATGCTCTACAAACGGTGGGACATGAAGAAGTTGGGCTTCAAGGATTTGTCTGACAAGGACCAGCAGGATTTCTTTCTCACTGTCAAGAAATTGACAGCGAACGGAGAGGGCATGACTTGTGGGAAAATCAGAAACGTCCTGAGCAAGAAAATGTTCGAGGTCCAGAAGTTCACCACGGAGACAGCAGTCAAGGGGCAATTCCTGCCATTGTCGGTATGGGAGACGAAGGGTTTCGACACGGCTGCGATAGAGGCCAAAGCAGAATGCCGGCCATCGGATTTGTTCGGCACCGTCTACCGCGTGCCGATCCTGGAGCTCAACTACAGCCACATCGAGCAATCTGTGAGGGAGACCATTCTTGCTGCTGAGAGGAAAGTGGCCCCGAACAAGCGTCTCTTGGCTGCATTTGGTGAATTTCCAAAAAGCTCTTGCCTGCCTAAACCGGAACCCGAGCCTTATAACATGCCTATGGTCGGTCATCACCGAAAGGGATTGGAAGTCCGGTCATGACCGGTTTTGTATACATGTGTGGGTTCTCACCAATGTGTCGGTTCTCACCGATCAATGTCTGGGTTTGTTGCATAAAAGTAAGATATGTTGTGTTCACCGTTGTTTTCACGAACTTCGTTTTGACTAAGGTAAGGGTGGTAAAAAAGCAGATGACGTAGAGGTAGACGACGAGCTCCAGGATGCTGATTGGATGAGCATCAGCTCTGACGAGGGCCATTCGAAGGTCATCACTATCCGAGAGAGCAAGGCTTCCTCTTCCAGGACCAAGAAGAGCAAGAAGGAAAAGCCCGAGCTTTCCCCTGAGGAACTGAAGCAAAGGAGGTCTGACAATGCGCAGGTGGCCAAGACCTGCAAAAAGCTGGTGGAGAAGTTGGAGCCATTGTTGAAGACCTGTCAGAAGGCAGCGAAGTCAAACATGGCCGATGAATCCTTCAAGAGCCAGGTTAATGGAGCGAAGACAGTTCTCAAAGATGCCAAGATGGTCCAGGAAAAGTACAAGTCAAAGACTTTGGAAGCCCTGGAGTTCTTGCACGAGGAGGAGCACACCAATGACTTGATGGCTTCTTTGAAAAGGAATCTCAAGTGCATTGACACAATGAAGTCTTTGATGGACGGAGGCATGGACTCTGAGGAGATCGAGAAGCTGGCGGCAGTTGCCAAGACCAGGATGACAAGGATGCAGAACGCTGAGAGTGTGGACTGAAGGGGTTGTAACCCTCAGCAGAGTTTTGATGAAAACTCTGTTTTTATCTGTAGCAATTGGCATCTGGAGCAACTTTTCCACGCAGAGTTGTATGTAACCAGAGTGTTGAGTGCGATCTTGATATTTAAGCATCCTATTTTTTGGTGAACAAATATCATTGTTGCTATTCTGTGTGCGTTGCGATGCATCTCAATCTAGAGCCCTGCGTGCACGTTCAAGAGAAAGACAGGGGATGGCCAGGTGTGGAAAAAATTGACGGTTGTTACCGTGTGTCGGTCATTAACGTCGTTCTTGTGTGACATGTCTCCATCGGTCATCACCGGGATAAACCTTTTTGTTTCTTGTGGAAACCTGTGGAAAACACAATTCGTTTTTCAGTGGCAGCATTTTGGTTTGGACCTTGCGTATCCCGTTGTGTTTGCTCCTGCGACATCATGGAGGCTCCTCCTTCCGGCTTTTGCGTGATGTCTGATGGATCTCTGCTGATGGGTCAGGACATGAGCCATACCCAGATTGATCCAATGATGATGATGATCATGCGTGCAGTCCAGACCAAGGTCTTGCAAAAGAAAGAGCAGGAAGACAAAGACGAAGCACAGAAGCAGAAGGTGAAGGATGACCAGTCCAAGCAGGAACAAACAAAGGAGGACACGATGGCAAGTTCTTCCAACCAGTCCCAACCTGCAGCTTCCTCAACGGCTACCACGTCCAGCAAGAGATTGCCGAAGAAGACCAAGTCCAAGAAGGGCAACAAGAGTAGTTTCTACAAGAAGAAGTGAGAGATAGAGATGGTTGGCAGTTTTGACCTATTTTCCATTTTAAGCACGACTCGAAAAATCACTTGTGGGAACGGTCATTACCGTGGGTCTTGGATTAGGGTCATTACCCAAAACCACCCCATACCACCACCCCATACCACCCCATACCACCCTATACCATCCCTATACCATCCCTATACCACCCTATACCACCCTATACCGTTCCCATACCATCCTCTACCATGATCAGTTTTATTCAACTATGCGGTCATTACCGTCCATTTTCTGGATATTGAATGCATGAGTCCATGAGGAATCAAGCTGCAGAGGGCCGCCCAAAATCCTGAAACCTGTGATCAACTGAATTTGGCGGAACAACCTTTTCAATTTTCCAGGAGGCAACTCATTCTTACGGATAACAATAAACAATTGGTAACGATGACCTTGTTTATCAATAATCAACTAATGATCCTCAACCTTTACTAGGCCTCATGTCGTCCCACTCATATGGATGGAGTGGCTGGGGCTCATGGGACGCTTCCCATGACCGTGAGCGTTGGCAAGATAGATGGGGTGACTACAGAGAGGACAGATCTTGGAACCAAACTTGGAGTCATAGTTGGGGCGACGACAAAAGGGACAGATGGTCCTGGAGAGACAATGATACCTGGTACTGGTACCAAGGTCAATACGAACAGATGGATGAAAAAGATGCCCAGGAAGCACCCAAAGAGCCTTCCTCCCAGATGTCTGGTCAGGGAGATGCCATGGTGAAAGGTGACCAGACATCTCCACCAGCGGCCTCAAACAATTCCAGCTCCGAGACCGAACCACCATCACTTGTGAGCGCTGCTGATGATCCATACCGTGATCCTCAGGAGCTTCCTTCAAATCTGGATCAACAAGCAGAGGAGGTTCCTTCAGATCTGGGTCATAAAGCAGATGATGAAAATGAAGGTTTCAGCGACTACTGGTTCAGCATGAGGATGCAACAGATGTTTCTTCCTGAAAAGGACAATGATGGCAAGGAAGCCCCATGGAAACACCAGCGAAAGAGATTCAAAGTGATGCTGCCTACTCCCAAAACGCACACCAGGCAAGCTCTGCCAGAGCCGCCAGAGCCGCTGAACAAAAACACTGTGAAGGTCGAGAACCACGAGCCGGAGATGGATGAACAGGAGCTGACCGAAGAACTGCTCAAAGCTATTGATGCTTTGAAGGAAGACCGTCCCACTGCAGAAAGCAACAACCCAGCAGCAGCAACTCAAGCATCCAGCTATGGCGATCCTCAATGTGAACGGCAGGCTTTGGAATTTCAAGCTCAGCTGCAGTATCAGCAGCAATGCCAGTTGCTTCAGCAACAACAGATGATGGCGCAGCATGTTCAAGAGCAACAAATTCGATACCAGCAGCAATGTGACTTTGCTCGACAGGCACAGCAGGTGTTACTTTCAGGAGCTGGAGGACAAAACCAAATCAGTGGTTCAAGACCGGCAAGAGAGCCACAAAGCAGTAGTTCAAGGCCGGCAAGAGAGTCCATCAACCCCAATGGCAAAGAAGTTCCGTCTTGGTGGCCACATAGTGACCAGCAATGGTTCTCAATGTCTAAAAGACAAAGGTGGTTTCTGATCCGTGGCTACGAAAAGCAGCCATCCCTTGCGTGGTACAGTCGCTAAAGACTCTGTTGACACAAACATTTTCGAGACCAAAAGCGGAGAGAAAATGTTAACCTTACACGGGTGAGGTCTTTACCTTCGACACGGTCTTTACCGTTTTTCAAAGCGGTCATCACCGCCCACTATTTTGAACAGTCATAACCGAAGGGAAGAAGGCATGATGCAGGAGCCCCAACAATATATGTAGGAGACACAGTTTCTCGAAAAGCATGAAGCTAAGCATACATCTTATGAATTTTTCGACTACTTGAGGCACAGTGCCGAAACCTGTGTTTTACCACCAAAACCCACAGCTGCTGGATCTGCCAGAACTTACAGTTAAAGACCGCGGTTACCTATCCCACCAGTGGAAGGTAACTACAGTCCTGGTCCTTCCACGCAACTATGATGATCGTTGGGGACCTGAAGCACATGTCGACTGCTGAGATCGTGAACACCATAGCAGCATTGACTCGTGAACTTCAGCAACGTGAATGTGGGCCTGCTCCACCACCGCCGCAAGCAGTGCATGAGACAAAGAAAGACAAGACCCCGGTTCGGGCTTCCAAGAAGTTTACACCATGTGGACGACCATGTCTCTACTGTGATTCGCCCTGCGTGAGGATTATGGAAGAGGATCCCAACCACAAACATTGTCGATGCAGGGCGCACCGAAAGCAGTGAAGCAGCGGCATCGGCAGAATTCAGTTGGCCTTTATAGGACTCATCTCGCTGAAGGAAGAGAGATGAATATAGCAGTACATTATAATCAGCCAACCGTGCTGGAGGCAAAAAAGGGGAGAGATTCATCGGTCATTACCGATAAAGATAGGTTCTTCAACCATTATATATTTACCTTTACCGATAATGCTCATTTCAACAAAGCCCATCATATTACCACAGTGTGCATATCAGTGGAGTACCACAATAAAAGAAGGATGCATCAGCATTGTAGCTGTTTGTAGCGCAAGCAATTGCAACGAGGAGAATGGATGAGAATGGTATGTATGTGCCTATGCTTTTGCTTTCGTCACATGGTTTCTTCAACTTACACACAGGAACAGATGTACAACTACTTAGGTATTGGTCCTGGATTCCAGACAGCACCAAACACTTACACGGCTATAAAGTTATTTCAAAGCATGCAGTTGTTTTTTCCAAAGACATCTAGCGCAGTCTGTCACACAATGGAACCGACCCACGGTTCAACACCCAGCGCCTCTTCCTCGAGTGGGACTCGAAAAAGAAAGGCTGACCAAGCAGAAGGAAATTTTTTTTGCATGTGTGGGCCTACCCGTGACGGATAGGTCCCTACGAGAAGTATTAGCCAGAGTGTCACATGATGACAATATTGCTAAAAGTAGCAGATGGCGTGCGTCCAAGGTCAGATTCCAACACCAAATCGACAGTTTAGCAGAACAGGAGGTGGAAGTTCAGGATGGCAAAGTCACACTTTACACCACCAGTTTGCAAAAGTATGTGAACACACTACAAGAAAAACAGCCTCAGTACATCCAGTTTGTCAAGAAGATCCTTTTGGCTGAACAACGATGTCGACCTGAAGGTGTGGACGGCATACTTTACATGGACGAGTGTGTCCCTGGAAACATCTTGGCCCCTGACAACAGACGAAAAAGCTATTGCATCTATTTTAGCTACAAAGCTTTAGCTCAGTTTCGATCGGTGAATGTATGGTGGCCCATAGCTCTCTTACGACATTCACAAACTGATCGACTGCCTGGTGGCGCTGCGGAATTTTTCACTAAGACATTACGCATGATGCTGCCTGACCTCTCTGGCCTGGTCATTGACAACACGATGGTGGTTGTTCAGACCCTCTTTTTAATAGCTGACGAAGCAGCTCTGAAAATGTGCGCTGGCTCCAAAGGAGCCAGTGGGTTGCGACCGTGCCTTCACTGTGATGCTTTTTCTGCGGCTAGAGAAGACATTGCAACAAGAGTTGGGCGATACGCTATCACTTGCAGCGACTTCAACAACTTCACTGAGGTCACCGACGATGATGTTGCAAAAATTATTGAACATCTACGTTTCGTGAAGGAAACTCAAAGCAAAACTGCGTTTGAGGAAGCTCAAAAACTTTTGGGCTGGGTGTTGAATGAACAGATTTTTTTCTTGGATGAAGAGCTGAAAAACTATTTGCAACCATCTCGTTGTCACTATGATGCCATGCATTGCTACTGGAGCAATGGACAAGTCAATGTCGAAATTGGCCTCTTCTACACCCAGGCCGTTCAGATGGCTGGCTTGGTGCGAAAAGATTTGGAAAGTTTTTTGGATGATGGTTGGAAAAGAACCAATGCTTCGGGTACAGAGGGCTCTGGAAACCTAGCCAATTTGGTCAGCGTCAAATTGCTAAAGGTTGATTTGGATTACAAAGGCAGTGCCTCCCAAACTTTGGAACTGTTGCCTCTCCTCGCTTGCTTTGCAGTGGAGCGTTTGAGCAAATGTAAAAAACTGAAACCACACATCGACTCATTGCTGGCTTTGTGGGAAGTCACTTCGCACATCCTCCATGCGAAAAACTGCGTAGACAGTGTACATGGACTTCAATCACTACAGAAAACAC